ATTCAATTGATAAACTGGTTTTTAATGGCCTGCTGGATTAAAATTTAATAGGAAAGAATATTACAACATTAAATTATTGAAATCAATATTTATTCAGTATACAACTCATCATCACTATCAGAATTCCCATCCATTAGTTGCCCTTCATTGTTGTCTGATAACAAACCATTGTTTTCATATACAGTACAAAGTCCAAGATCCGGACATCCAGTATCCGGAATGATTTAAAATCTGCACCTCAAAGCCACCCCACCACCAATCTTTTTTTTTTTTTTTTTTTTTTTTTTTGTAAGCTTTATGCATGCGCATTTGATTTTTTCCCCCTCATAATAAAGCATGCGGATAGCCTCAATTCATAATCTCACTTCGGCAGTAAATAAAATGCCTCATTATTAAAGAAATAATCATTTTAGTATAAATTTTTGCAATCAATAATTTGACTCTGTTGCTATGTGTCTGCTTGGCATACGTGTCAAATCAAAACATTCTACATAAAAACATTGATATTACACCAACTAATATTTTATATCCTTGATGCCAATTTGACGAATTGGCATCAAGGATATAAATTATATTTTTCTTTCATTACCACATGTTTATCAACACATGACAATTTGAGTGATGTCTCATGCCGCGATGGCTAAACAATTTATTACTTTTTTTTTATATATATTAGTAATTGAAGTGTATGGTAATCTTTACTGTTGACATTATGCTTTTCGCCGATTACAGATTTGGAAATGTTGATGAGGAAAGATTTAAAAATTTCTTTTCATATGCTAAAAATAGATTTTATTAATGATACTTGTATGCCAAAAGGTTGAATTTAGCGCTATTTGAATTAAGAATAACTGATTTGTTTTCACATAAAGCCAGAACCGTCACCCGAGGCCTTATGGCTGCACGGGGCAGCAGAATTTAGGGGAAAAGAGTAGTTAAAGAAAAGTTTTCCATTGCGATGACAATGCATCAATCATCAATTATTTAACGGATGGCAAATTCTTTAATATGGTTCTAGATCTAGAAAATACTGCTACTGAAGAAAATGACAGAGAGGTTATTGAAAATGAAAAAAGAGGTTATTGAAAATGAAAAAAATTTCGCTGAATTTTCAACCCAGCAATTACAGGACTTGTAACTGAACAAAAAATTATATCTATCTATAGAATTAAAGAGAAAGTATTAGCACACACACACAAGCAAACAAACAAACAAACAAACAAAAAACTACTTAAACAACTTACATTGAAAGAAATGTTTAATAAAGTAAACATATAAATAAACATGTGCGTACACAAAAACACAAGGACAACATGAGTTGTTTTGAAAAAAAGAAAAATTAAATTTTTCTTCTGAAGGACCAAACAGTTATTAATGCAGAATGTCTATTCTCTGCCTTTTTACTGGAGCACAACCTGCCACTGAATGCATCGGATCACGTTCCAGCTTTATTTAGAAAAATGTTTCCTGATAGTGAAATCGCTAAGAAATACTCAAGTGCAAGGACCAAAACAGGTGCAATTGTTAAAGAAATGGGTTTGAAAAATAAATCTTCAGTTATTGATTGCATTAAAACAGCTCTGTTCTGCCTGTCTACGGATGGAAGCACTAATACCGATTCAAAACTGTATCCTTGTTGTTTCTTTTTTTAATCCAGAGTCTTCAGAAATTGAGTGCAGTTTACTTTCTGTCCCCACTTTAGAAGGACATTCGACAGGCTTTAATATAGCACGGCTAATTATTAAAACTTTAAAAGAAAATGCAGTCCCTCTGGATAATTGCTTAGCACTTGGTGCTGATAATGCACCAGTGCACCAGTAATGGGAGGCTTGAAGACTGGTGTTGCAGGCATCTTAAGAAAGGAAAATTCAGATTTGCAGATTAAGAAGTGCACCTGTCACCTCTTAAATTTAGAAACTGAAAAAATGGGCAACTTCTTTACTTTTCTTTTCAAGATAATAATAAATATCAACAATGTGTCCATCAATGTGGATGGACACATTGTTGATATTTATTATTATCTTGAAAGGAATTCTAAAAGGAAGGAAAAATTGAAACAGTTCTAACAGCTGCATAATACTGAAATGAGAAAAATTTTGAAACATGGCTGTCTTTAAAGAAATGCTTATCTAGAATCTTCGATCAATGGAACCCACTTCTTGCATTTTTTAAAGAAGAAGTAAATGCTTCGAGAGTTAAGATAAAAGGCTCTATTGAAAGTTATAAAATATCTAAAGTAAATGGAGATGTAGTTACTGCTTCTATTGTTAAAAATGGGTTTAAGAAAAATAAAGTAATTTCTGCACCATTCAGCAAGTCAACTGGCAGTTCTCGAAATAATACTGTAAAATATAAGCATAAAGCGGATACAAATTTCTCTCAAAATAAAAAAAATAATAATATTTAAAAAAAAAAAATGCTCAACACGCGAAACATTTTCCGATTACTTTAAGTTTATCTTGTGAAGAAAGAATATATATATATATTTTTTTTCCTTAGGACCTTAACAAAGCTTTTTGCTTTTTTTTACAATTCATTTTGCCATCATTCCATGTTCTTAACACAGTTCTACAAAGCAGAATTCCATTAATTCATGTTTTGCAATCAAAGATTTATGATCTGTTTAATGACATTTTATCAAAGTTTGTAAAACCAGTCTGTGTTTGTCTTGTAATTCTATATATGATGTGATTTATAGTGAAATAGAGAATCAGAAGAAAGATGAAGATATGATAATAGGAGCTGCAACTACAAAAGTAGTGAAAGAACTTTCAGAAGAAGACAAAAATAAGTTTTATCTTCATGTTAGAAGTTACTTCTGTCGAGTATGTGATTACATACTACATAAATTTCCGGTCAACGATGAAGTGATTTTGCATGCTAAAGTTGCTGATGTTTCTGCTAGCAAATGCATCTTTTTCTCATATAAGGTACTTTTTGAACCGATTTCTTGTGTTACTTCATTTAGTCATGAAGGATGATGATACTGATGTTGCCACTGACAATATTGCAGTTTACAATTAGAAAACTTGGGTGAAGTTATAAAATCATCTAGGATTGACACCCAGTGGAGTTTAATTAGAAAACTGAAAGGTTATGATGGAATTTTAAAATATAGTGAACTGTCTGGAATTATGCTGGCCATTTTGACAGTTCCCCATTGTGATGCAGAGTGTGAGAGGATTTTCAGTGTTGTTGCGAAAACGAGAACTAAATTTAGATCTAATATTAGTGATGACATATTAAAAAAACTTTTATTAGCGAAAGCAGGCCTACGTAGCAATTGCTATGAACAAAATTATGAAGTTTCCATCTTAACGAAAGAAAAATGTGCCAGTGTTCATAACATTTGTACGAAAACTGATTAAAGTGTCTTTTTTTTTCTTTGTTTTTGTTTTCTTAAACGATGCAAGTAATAAAAATGTTTTTTTATGTGTAAGGTATTCTTGTGTTGCTTGCATTTAAGAATTAGTAACTATTTAGTTACTAATTAGTTTTAATAATGAATTATCTGAAAGTTAATTCATTATTAAAAACTATATTTTTATCATCTAAAAAATATTCTTACATTGTGAAAAATCTCCTGATTTTTTAGTGTCATAGATTGTCAAGTATGCATATTTCTATCCTATCCTGAATCCATCCAACCCTTCTCACGAACATGAGCAATCCCTCCAAGATGAATGACATCTTTTGGAACTATTTTGTATTAAAAATCAGCATGGTCACTGGTTTAGTTCCATCAGCACAACAAGCTGTTAGAACAGCTACAAAATAGTTCTTTTCATGTCCACTTGTCTTCACAGTTGCAATCGTCACCCTTTTCTTATTAACAATTTTGTTACTTAGGACATTAGACTGAAGGGAGGACTTAGTCCATATGTAGAATTTGCCTCAACTCATACTGATGTGTTTTCCGACACTGAATGACAAAACAATGAAATTAATTGAAATGCTCGCAGGTTTTAGGCAAGTCTAACAAATATATACATGCTTAGTCCATTTCATTTCATGAATCTGAAGTACCAGTTGTGCTCTCCTTTGAAATCTTTAACTTCTTTTTCTTGACCAATTCTTTTTGCCTTGTGATGAAGCATTTCTGTGGACACAGAAATTCCAGATGCTCTTTGCTCTTCAGTTCATTATTCTTTAACCATGGCATCTGCAGTAGGGGTTTGTTCTTCCCATAACTAATCTCAGGTTGTTTTCTGAGAAGGGCCAAACTTATGTTCAGCAGCACGATTTCCATTCTTTTTCGTAAACTGAATCACTTTTAACTTGAAAACAACACTGTACAATAGTCTTTTCTGGGCCATTTTGAGGCAAAACATAACAGTTTATAACAGGCTACATTTATGACAAGTTTAACATGCACAGGATGTATGCATTGTCAACAATCTTTCACCTTCAGTTTTGTTCATTGCAATTACGTTGAGCAAAATGCCACTGTTGATGTTTCCACTGTAAGAAGCACCAAATTTTTAGATGTGGAAAAAAAAAAAAAAAAAAAAAAAAAAATGTGTGCCTTATGCATAAAATAATTACATAAAATTATTCATTCTGGGAAAATACAATAAATCAAATTGCACTGCTTGCTCATCATTTTGTTTTGATGAGCAAGCAGCAAATTTTTTTGTTGGAAAAGAACCATGACCTGGGTCTCTTTTATTTATAATTTTATATTAAAGGAAAATACTGCAACTTATCAAAGATATAAAAAGTAATTTTGTTTCACATTAAATGCTTAAATATAAATTGTTTCTATTTTATGATTAAATTTTTCATTCCCATTTATTGGCAATAATAGTATTTTCTTGTGAAATATATAATCATAAGTAACCATACATTATTACAAAATGTGCTTAAAATTACTCTATAATATTGAAATGAGAGAGGATTTTATTGCATTTTTGGAAATGCTTAATTTTGTAAACATTAAACTTGCATTTCTTTTTATTTATTTAATTGAATTAATTAGTGGAATTTTCTTTATTATACAGGAGAATCTGTTATTAGATGGTGAACAGACTTTGAAACTGATTGATTTTGGTCTTTGTGCTAAACCAAAGGTAAAATACTAGATATAATTTAAATCAGGATTTGAAGTTATGTTGGTTATTAATTTTATTTTATTATTTTCTGAACATTTGTGTGTTCTCATTACAATTTGTCCACATCAAAGAGTTTTTACAATAAATCACATAATTGGAAGATAAGTCCAAAGGAAGTAGTAGTTAGTGCTTTGAAGCTGAAGATTAAATGTGGTATAATGATGCTATAGTCAAAGTTGGCACAAAACTGTTGAATTTAAAAATAATAATAATCTTGAACTAGTATACTAATAATCAATTAAAATTAAGAACTTCAGTTAAAGATTTTCTTTGACTTATTGATTTTAAGTTTAGTTTGATGAATTTTTTAGGAATTATCCTCACTCCATTTTGCTTTCGGTTAAATTGTACTTTTTAAACTTTCTAAAAACTGGAAGCTTTTCTGCATTTAATATCAAATTAATTAAAAATTCTGATAATGACAAATGTAATAAGTTTGATTAAAATTAATTTAAAGTGTTCTTGGTTTTAATTAGTAGTCAGATTTTGTTTGTATTTAAAAATGTATGCGTAAGTAAATTTGAATTTGAAAAAGTATCCATATTTATTTCTGGTCAAAAGTATTTTAAAAAAGTGTTTGTACACTTCAGTTATTGAATCAAATGTTATTCTTTTTAATTAGTTTCATAGTCAAACGTATAATGAAAGCATTTAAAGAAAAAATATATAGAATTTGAATAATTTGAAACATTTTATAAAAATTGCATTTGATTGAATGTTAAGATACTTTGCTTTAACTTGGGAGTAAGTGTTACAATCAAGACTGTGGAGTCGGAATCGGAGTCGAGCAGATTTTGGGGTAAAAGGAGTCGGAATTGGAGGCGCTAAAAAATAGGTCGACTCCTGCCTCCAGTTTTTGTTGGACAGTTTGAATTTGAAATGAAATTAAAATGAATTGAAAAAAAACTAATGACAAGCTGAGTTATTGTTTTTATTAATGGACTATATATATTAATAAATAGTTATTTTCTATTTTATTGATATATTACTAAATAAATATAAGGGCGGAGGATGGATGTGATATTTTGTCCATTAGTGCTTGAAAGTAAACTGATTCATTTAGTTACAAATCTCACTGGTAAATTTAGGTAAGCAGCAATAAAGCAGCAAGAAACTGCCAAAATTGATGCCATTCTTAGGAAGCGAGCAGGGAAAGGAGCAGTTATTGATCAAGCAACGCGATAAGGAAGTACATATTTGATGATAAAGCTGTTGTTGGAATTAAGAACTGTTTTAGAAGATTTAAATAACCCTAATGTTTTACTAACAGAAAGACTATGGAATGATCTTGCAGAATTGAAACTCTTCTTTCCACACCATATATAGCCACAAAAAAAGCTGCAATCTGAAGAATTGACAGGAGACGAGAATGGAAGAATGCGATGTTTATTCTTTCTGAAATGGAGGGTTTTTTGCAGAAGGAATAATTTCTTCAATGAAAAGAGAAAATAGTTTGCTAGACAATGAGATCTTGCTGGGTTTCAATATATGTAGATCCGAAAAAACAAATTTTCTTGGATGACGAGCAAATTAAAAAGGCAAAGAAAGCCATCTATGAACTTTCATTAAGAATGAAATTATTCTCGGAACAATTGTAGAATTCGAATCAGGACAGTCAAACTGCAGACGTTGCAGTTGAGTCTCTAATATCCTCTTCCAAAGATGAATTAGATTTTGAGAAATATTATTGGATAATATTGAATAGGCTGCAAAGCGAATGAAAATAAAGAACCAAGAGCATTTAGATATAAAAATGAAAAAATACAAACAAGATTTCTGTACGGCCTTTGAAGAAAAGAGAAATATGATTGCGCAAGACACCTCTTTTAAAACTTATAAAAATCTATCCTGAAAAGTTAAAAGAAGTAACAGCAACAGCTCTTCCTCCTACTCAAGTTAGTGTGGAAAGACTCTTAGCAGCTCTGAAGTTTGTCAAATCGGATCTTTGACCCTCCAGCAAAGAAAGTCTTGCCGAAGCTATACTGTTTCTTAGAAATAACTACTGCCAGTTTTTCCATTTCATAATAAATGTTAATTAATATAAATAATTTGATATGCTGTCAATTTTTATGTAGCATATTACTCCTTTTATAATAAAAAAGTAAGCTGTAACCCATTGGTATATGTTTATATATATATATATATATATATATATATATATATATATATATATATATATATATGAGGGAGTCGGAGTCTTTAAAATTCCAGGAGGACGAGTCGGAGTTGGTCATTTTCCCTACCGACTCCACAGCACTGGTTACAATAAAAATTTCAACTGCAATAATATTTGAATTAGGCTTAGTTTAAATGCTGTTAACCCATGTACTCTACTCTAATAGTACCTAATGTACTGTACTAGTACCTTCTAATTAATGATGGTAATTTAGAGTTTTAAACTATTGATATGTGATTTCATTAGATTAAAATATCCTCTAAAACACTGTGTAGATGAGAAAAATATTTTAACTTAAATACACGCAAAATAGTAAAGCTTATTGTTTTAATTGTATACTGGGAAGCTATGAAAATATAGTACTTATGAAAGTAATTATTTATGAAAAATGAAAACTTTTTGAAACAATTATTTATATGAAAGCATTGCTTGAAAATGAACTATGTTGTTATTGTATTATGCATATTTAAGTATAAAAATTTATTTTTATGTAGGCAGGAATGCAGCAACAGCTAGATACTTGCTGTGGAAGCCCTGCATATGCTGCACCAGAGTTAATACTGGGAGCTAATTACAATGGAAATAAGGTATTATGAAGTAAAAAATATATGTATATATATATATTATTTTTGATGAAGTTTTTCTTCCTTCAGTTAAATTTTATTTTAGGTGTAATGAAAAGATGCAAAATATGTATTTTTAAAATTTCTTCTGTTATCACTAATAATAATAAAATAAAGTGAACTTGCGTAACTTATTTTTTGCTTTTCAAATGGAAGTTTTAAATCTTATTCATGTAAATAAATTCAATCAGTTTTGTGTTACGTGTTCAATTATTAAAAAAAAAATATTAATCATGTTCATTCAAAGTTACCATTTACTGATAGCTTTGAAGATTGATGTGTGAAGACTAGCGAATTGTATTGTTACAGAATAAGGGAGATTAATTGTTACAGAATACCTTATTTTTTGGGGGGGGAGAGAAATGTGTGGATTAGTTAGTGAACCAATGCCAGTTTACGTGGCATTTCAATGTATATTCATTAAGAGTTTAAATCCAGAATGAGGTCTTTAAGAAGCAAATCATATGCTTTATTAGTAGAAGAAATGATACTTAGAAGAAAGAAAAGATATGAACGTAATGCCTGTGATCTCAAAACCTGGCTTAAGCAAAAGGGAAGGGGAAATCATCTGGTCAAGGTGGTTGTAGAGAGTCAACAGGCAGTAACCAATCAGCATTGATGACAAATAAAAGCTTACTTTCCCCAAATCTAATTTTTGAGAATGGAAAATTGTGCATTTAAATGAAAGTGTCATATTATGCATCAGAGTGCTAGGGAAAATAAGTGTGCATGCAGATAAAAACTTTGTATATTGATATCACAAGCTAAAAATAATATGCATCCAGATTACATACTCAGTAAATTACTGCTGCTTGGTAATTGACCGAGGTCAGTCAGCTGCTAGAGCAAATTCAGAAGTTATTCATAAGAATGGGAATGGACAATAAATTCAAAATTCATTGAAATAATAAGAAGGCATTAATCAATATTAAGAATCATCCTGCCCAAGCAAATAGGCAGCATAATAGCGAAAAACTTATCATACACGATCAAGGGTGTCTTTAGTCTTGAATTTCCTAAAAATGAGAATTTGGGATTTTTACAGGTTTACTTTTACTGCCCACTTCTGATATCTGTGGAACTTTTTCTTTAGATCAAGCAATAATGATGATATCATCTGGATAACACACAAACATGGTATCCATATCCTTCTTGAATTTCGGGAAGTCATTTGAATAGATAATATAGAATAGCAGTTCAAGGAAGTTCCCTACATCAGATACGGTCAGAAACTTTACACACATCTAGCATAAGGATGGTTGCACTGGCTTTATTGCGGAGGGCTGCACCATACAAATCAGTAATCCTAATGAGTGGTGTGTAGTAGATAGGCCTTGCCGGAAACCGTACTGCTTATCTGCTATTAGTTCAAAACATGGCTTCAGTCTGTTGTAAATGATATGTTTGAAAAGCTTTCCCAGTGTCGATAGAAGACTTATCGGCATATAGCTTACAAGATCATCTGGTGGCTTTCCAGGTTTAGTATTAAAAATATGCTTGCATGTTTCCAAGGTTTCTGAAAAAATAAGATCTGGTGAGACATGCATTGAAATACTCGTTAATTTTCTAACAAGGTAGTTTGGGAAGTTCAACATTCTATTAGTGAGTCCATCGCTTCCAGGCACCATTTTGGAATTTGCTCATTTTATAACGTCCATAACTTCATGTGGAGTAGTGAGTTTGATCAAATTATAAGATTGAGTGTCAATCAAATCATTCTTAGACTGAGTCATTGATGTTTTTATCGGAGTTATCCCTGTTTCAGAAGAAATTTAGCTTAAATTGATCATTCAGGTGTTTCGCAAAAGTATCTGATTTCTTCTGGTTGGACTACACCAAACCATCTGTCATTCTGATTAATTGAGAGCTGTGAAAGCTTCATCTGAGATTTCTTAAAAAGTTTTTTAAAGAACCATCATCCAGATTGATGTTATAAATTTTTGAGCTCCGTAACTCATTTCTGTGTTCACCGATAAGAAATTTATTCTGACTTGTGAGTCTATTTATATCTGTTTTAAAAGCAGGTGTCCAATTTTCATTATATTGTTTTCTAAGCCTGTTACACTATGTTATTACATCTCTGATGCTTGCAGGTTAGACAGGGCTCGTACGGTCCTTAAAAGTCCTTAAATTTTTCAAAAATGATTTTTGGTCCTTAAAACTCCTTAATTTTGGTCAAAATGAATAAACGGTCCTTAATTTTGCTCGTTTGACATTTCTTATCATTTCTAATGATTGCCATTCTAAGTGTGAATTGCGATTTCTCATGAATATGGAATTAAAATTACACGGCTTTTAACCAATCTGTTGGCGGATTTGCATTGCAAATGATAAAAAAACAATTACCTACCTAGAATGAAAGTATCGGGTGTCTGATTGGCTATTCACCCAATGTTTTGAAACAGGTGTTATCCATAAATTTAGGCAGATTGTGATTGAAAGCTTGAAGCCGGTTGTTTCTAAGCCATAATTAATTTTTTATCACCTCTCTACGGAGTTTATTCTCTTTTGCACATACTATATGTATGGGATATCGGGATTATGAGTTTATTTCTGCAGAGGGTCTGTTATCGATTTCGCGGGAAATCTGTTGGCTCCATTTCGATTTTAGGTCGCCAAGGGCAAATTCGGTAACGCTAGCCGAGAAAAAGTGAAGTTCGGAAATACGTTTTGAAGCTTCAATAGACAATTAAGTATTTGGTTTAAATGCTGTTGATAGTAATTAATGCATTATTTTTGCTAATGGCGATACAATTATTAGTTGAAAACAACTAACTAATTAAAATTTTTTTTAATATTTTTAAAGCTGAAAACAACTAATTGAAACTAATTTTCCTGAATTAACTAGACGCAAAATTAACTTTCATGAATTACTAAAGTTATTGGGTAGAAGTTTAACTGAAAATATACATTCCGTATATATATATATATTTATACAGTACAAAGTCCGAGGTCGGGACTTCGGCGATCCCAGATTTGAGATTTTTTCCGGATATTAGATCATTTTAAATCTACTAAGATGGCACGTAGAAATTATAAAATTGAAAATATGAAATCGTGATTTATGAAATAATGAAGCATTTATGATTTAAAGGGTATCAAAATTTACAAAAGAAAAGAGCTTAATATTTATATGTTTACTTTATTAAACATTTCTTTCAATGTGAGTTGTTTGATTTGTTTTCTCTGCTAATACTTTAGACTAATACTATAGACATATAATTTCTTGTTCAGTTATTAAGTTCCATTGTTCAAGTCCTGTAATTGCTGTGTCGAGAATTCCGAATAACTTGTCAATCAAAATTTTTTTCTCGTTCAGTAACCTCTCTGTTACTTTCTTCACTATCGGTAGCTGTATTTTCTGGATTTAGAACCATACTACAGATTTCGCCCTCCGTTAATTGATTGATGATTGGGGCATTGTCATCGCAATGAAAAACTTCTGTTTAACTTCCCTAAATTCTGCCGCCTGGTGCGGCCATGCGAGCTCTGGCGCTGGTTCTGGCTTTATGTGAATAACAAATCAGTTATTCTTAATTCAAATAGCACTAAATATAATCGTTTGTCCTATGAGTATCATTAACAAAATCTATTTTTAGCATAAGGAAAGAAATTTCTGTTAAATCTCCCCTTGTCAACATTTTAGCGCATTAAACTTAAATCTGTAATCGGATAATACTCTGTTATTTGGCGTCGCTGCATGAGTCATCACTCAAGTTGTCATCCGTTGATAAACATGCGGTGATGAAAGCAAAATACAATAAATAATGATTCGCGATTTCGGCATCAAGGATATAAAATATTAGTTGGTGTAAAATTAACAAATGTTTCGGTTTGAGATTATGCCAAGCAGATACGCAGCTATGGAGTCAAGTTACTAATCACACAAATTTATGCTAAAATAATTATTTCTTCAATAATGTTTTATTTAGTGCCAAACTGAGATTAAGAATCGGGATTTCCGGCATGTTTTTTTTATGATGAGGAAAAAAATCTAATGCGCATGCGTAAAGCATACCCCTTCCCTCCAAAAAAGCCCTAAAAAATTGGTTGGTGGTGGCTTTATCCGCTTTCTGAGATCCGGATTTTAGATCATTCCAGATATTGGATGTCCGGATCTCGGACTTTGTACTGTATATATATATATATATTAAAATGTATATTTTCAGTATATTTCTTATTATTATATATTTCTTATTATATATATACATATATATGCGATACTTAATTTTACTAATGCCTTGCATGTAATGCCCCTTTTAGCTGCAAAACATCTTTCCTTCTCAACTGCAGAGTTTCTTCTAACAGTATCATGAATTTTGTCAAGTTAGAAGAACCATCTACTTCAGGAAAAGATGTAACTGCTAATTCAACATCAATAAGTGTAGAAAATAATAAAATCAATTCTTTTCTTTTCAAATCTGAAGTTACAGATGCAGAAATATTGTGGGCTTTTAAGTGCATCAAAAGCCACTATTCTTTTAAATCGTGCGATGATATTGGGCCGTTATTCACTAAAATGTTCCCGGATAGTTCCATTACAAAATAGTTTTCATGTGGTGAAAAGGAATGTGCTTATATCTGTTAGTTTGGTCTTGGCCCTTATTTTTAAAACTTTGTTACTAAAGCATTGTAAAAATGCTGAGTTTTTTACATTACTATTTGATGAGACTCTTAATCTGACAAATCAAAAGAAGCAACTAGATATTTATGTGAGGTACTGGCATCACGAAAATAAGGTCAGAACTCAGTACCTTACTTCTGCATTTATAGGGCATGCAACAAGTGAAATTATTTTTTTATCCAAATTTTATGAATGTGTTGAAAAACTAGACTTGTCAAAAACTCTTACAAATATCGATGGATGGTCCTGCAGTAAACTGGAAATTTTATGATTTATTGCAACAGGACTTGACAAAGGAATATAACATTCAATGCTTGACATTAGGGACATGTGGTTTACACATTCTTAACATGCTTTCAAGCATAGGATGTCATCCACTGGCTGGGACATTCCATCATTCTTATCCTCCTTATATTGGATTTTTAAAGATTTTCCTGCAAGACGTGAAGATTTTTTAAGTATATCTGGCTTAAAAAAGCTACCTGTGAAGTTCTGCTTTTACCGATGGTTGCAAAAATGTCCCAGCAGTTGAAAGAGCCATTGAAATATGGGATGACTTGCTACTGTACATTAAAGAAGTTGAAATGGGGAAGTTTAAAAAAAAATTCATCGAAATCCTTCTCAAATATTTTGGAAGCAACTAAAGATAAAACATTTCTTATAAAATTAAATTTTTTTTTGTCTCGTCGAAAATATTATTGCCTTTCCTTGAATATTATCAAAGTGATAAACTTTATGTGATATTATTCCCTTTTTTGCTGGAGATATCTTAAAACTTGTAAATGATTACCTTCAACACTTTAAAATTTTGAAACTAGAATATTCAAAAATAACTAAAGCAGAAAATCTTTATAAATTTAATTTTAATGATCCAAATTGTTATAATGATAAAAGTAAAGTTTATTTGGGATTCATTGCTGAGCAGTTAATGAATGATAAATGCCGCAAGAAGGACATTTCACAAGCTGAAAGTTTTGCATTGAAACAAGGTCAACAATGTGTCTTAACAATAGTACAACACTTAATGTCTAAATATCCAATAAATTATTCTCTTATTCGAAATGCATCTTGTGTAGACCCACGATTGATGGCTAAAAGTCCAGAAAAAGCCCAGAACAAAATGAAAATACTTTTAACGGTATTAATGCCGAGTAAACGTGTTTTACAAGATGATTGTGATGAAATTCTGCTGCAGTTTGGAGAGTTTCTAGACAAAGTAGTTAAAACAAATTTACATGAATTTTCTATTTTTGATCCTCAAAATCTTTCTCTTGACACATTTCTCACTTCTTATTTTCATGATTTTCACTATTCAAAAGTATGGAAAATAGTGAAAATGATTCTTATCTTGTCACATGGACAGGCCTCTGTGGAAAGGGGCTTCTCTGTAAATAAAGCAATTGAAATTGAAAATTTAAGTGACTCATCATACATTTTTCAATGCACAGTATTTGATTACATAAAATTTTCTGGAGGTGTTCTTAATATCGAAATTAATAAAGAAATGAGATCAGCAGCAGCTTCTGCAAGGTCTAACTATATACAGTATTTAAAAGAACAAAAATCTTTAACTAACTCTGAAAATTCAAAGAGGAAAAGAAATATTATTGAGCAAGAAATTGATTATATGAAGCAGAAGAAAAAATTTCTTCAAAGGGACATTAAAGATATTAATGAAGAAGCAGATGCTTTAGCAGATGAAGCCGAGACCAGCAGGAACATTGATTTGTTTATCAAACAAAGCAAATGAACTTAGAAGAATAGTTAAAAAAAAGGAAATAGACATAAATAAATTAGATGTTAAAATAGCTGAAAAAGATTTCAGATTTAAAAAAAAGCACAAATGTTTTGTATTTTTTATTGTACAGTTTATTATTCTAGTATCTTTCAAAAAAACCAAGGAAATAAATTGTATGTTTACAAATCAGTTATTTTAATCTGCAAAATATTCTTACATTGTGATTATAATAGTAGTTGACTGTGTTTAAATAATAAATCAAATAAGTTAAATAATAATCATGTAAATCTCTAAATATCTGTGACTGTTATTAGTGTAAAATACAATTATACATGTTTTTTCAAGAAATTATGTTCCTAATTTAATGTTATCTACTTCATAACTTGTAAGGAGTTAGTTTAATTTTCAAAATTGTTTTATGTTAAGTATTAAATTGAATTTAATAATAGTGCATAATACACACTTCTGTTAGTTTCTTAAAGTGAAATTACAAGCATGAAGTCGGTTGTATGGATAATTGCTTTATTCTATTCGTTTTTTTTTTTTTTTTTTTTTTTTTTTTTTTTTTTTTTTTTTCTGATAGGTCCTTAATTTTTTCTTTGATGGTCCTTAAAAGTCCTTAATTTTCATGTAAGGAAATGTGTACGAACCCTGTTAGAGCCTAAATTACTCCAGAGCTCGGCTCCAGTACTTCTTAATTTTTGGGATAAATCATAATTGTAGGTGGAGCGTACCGGAGCCTAGAATAAGAAGGATCCGGCACTTATTTTATATAACTGAACAACAATTTCAGTAGAAATTTGGTCTCGAAAATTTTATTTTTTGCAATAAAATTATATTAAAAATCGCTGATTAAATTTTAGTTTATCTCTTACATTTTATTTAATTTTAATTATTTAATTACTTAAATCTTTAATTATTTAAATAAATAATAATTAATAATTTTTTATTAAATTAAATAATAATCATGAAATAATCATCAATAAATATTTATTATTAATATTGATTAAATAATTAATAATTACTTGATGATAATAATTAATTTTATCATTAATGATTAAATTAATATATTTTGATTAGTCTATTTTATTTATTATTATTTACTTTTGTTCCTCTTTGCTGATGGTCTTCCATAGGGCTCTGATACTTCTAATTTTAGAAATTAAGCCCTGTTGCAGGTAGATTACAATACTGATCTCTGAGCAATTGTTAATAATGGACATAGCTTTCTGCTGGAAATCCTTGAATTTTTTTTAGTAAAATTTTGAACTGTGGCGCTAATATCATTTTCAGCATCAAAATATCTACTTCCAATCTAAATCCAATAAATAAAATATCTAAATCCAATAAATGAATGTAAAATATATATGGAATGTATAATGATGCTGTGCCCTTTAAACTTTGTGTTCAGGCACTTTTTAGATACAGTATTTAGGTCCTTGACGTTAATACCTAATACAGTAACATAAATAATTCTTTATGAAGTAAGATTGCACCAAAAAAGCCAAAACATTTTTACCACCTACTCAATAACGCATTGTGTGACCTTTGTCCTGTAAAATAGTTTCAACTTGCATTGGCATGAATGCCACAAGTTCTTGATACATGACTGGAAAGAAGTTGTACCAAATGTATAAGCAGCAGTCATGCACAATTTGAACTTTAGGATATGGGGTGTTGTCCTGCTATAAGTTTCCATTTCCAGTTGTGAAGACAGATGCTATGTAAGGGTGCAGCTGATCCACAGTTATGCTCAGATAGTCTGCAACATTCATGGCCTGTTGTACTACAACTAAGGGTCCCAGAACTGGTTATTAGAACATCCTCAAAGCATAATACCACTACCAGCTTATGTACGACCTGCTGTATGGGGGGAGCAACTGTTAGCCTGAAAGACAGTATGCCCTGACACGACCATAAGTGTGATGCGTGACACTTATCCATGGTCTTCCACTTATCCATGGTTCAGTCTCGATGTTTCTGGCCCCACTGTAGGCGTAGTTGACAGTTACGCTTGGTCAACAGAGCCACAATGAATGGGACATCTGCTTCACAGTCTCATATCCAACAGTGTCTGCTGAACAGTGTGTTCCGAAACACTTGCACTTGGACTTGCGTTGTATTGCGCTGAGCCACTGTCTGGTGCCAAGCGGGACATTCTTTGACATCCTTTTTCTTTAATGATGCATGGATGTCCAATACTTTGGCATCTACTGCTGATTTCACTGTCATTTATTCACTTAGCATAAATACTTACAATGGTAGATTGTGAACAACCTACCAGTCGTTTAGCTTCAGAGATACTCATTCCAAGTCTTTGACTCATCAGTGTATATGGTAAAACATGTGGTATCATTTTGTCCAACCTTTTCTCTAGACCTGCTCCTCGTGCCCCCCCCCAAAAAAAAATATTTTCCTACCAATTATCCCCCAGATAATCTGCGGAAGGCCACTTTCAAAGAGCCTGAAGTGGGACATAATTTTTCTATGGTGATAGGATTTTGTAAACCAAAAGAGAAATATATATATATATATATATATATATATATATATTCCTCTTTTTAAGAAAATTATGATCTAAACAACAATTTTAAATTCTGAAAAAGTTTTTATGCGAATTGGCAAAAATTTTTTATACATACAAATTTGCTTTGAAAAAATATATATTTTTCATATGCTATTACTTTTGTGTTCTTTTTTGTAAATTTTGTTTGCATTTCCTTATTTTCATATGGCTATAAGTAATAGTAAAATTTTTTCCTTAAATCGAATGCATGTATTTTAGGTTGATATTTGGAGCATGGGAGTTTTGCTTTATGCTCTCTTGTGCGGTTTTCTTCCTTTTGATGATGAAAATGTGTCAAAGTTGTATAAAAAAATTCATGTAAGTACAATTTTTAATTTTCCTTTTTTGTTTTAGTATTATGCAACAATGCTTTCATTGGTATGGTTTTGAGATACTTATTGCTTTATTAAATCGATAATTTGGTGTTTATTTATTGTAATGAATTGATTTAATTAAATATAGTTTTTTTATCTGCATTGATTTAATTTTTTAAATACAGTCAAAAGTTATTAATTCGGACACCCATAATCCGGACCTCAAAGCTAAAAACTTTCTGCGCATGCGCTGCGTTGCCACATGTGCATAGGCATTTACGCATGCACGTAAGACCTTTACGCATTCACGACTGCGCAAGTGCAGAATACGTTTTCGCGTACGCGTTTTATGCATATCGGACAGGTATAAGCTAAAATTATCTAATTATCTATTTCAGTTAATGTTGATGATTGCGTTCTTCCGTAATCTTCAAATTGGCTTATTATTTTTTGCAGACTGTAAGAGCAATTTTATAAAAGTAAACTTGAACTTTCGATTATGTCAAATAGAATTTCCGACGCTGGAGCTCCCAAAGGATCTACAAAACGAAAATATGTTTCGATGTCCATCAAACAAAAAGTGGAATTGCTGCAAAAAATGGATAAAGACATGAAGAAGGTAACAGAGAGGTTAGTGAAAACGAAAAAATTTCGATGACAAGTTAGTCGGTATTCTCGGCAAAGAACAAAGAAATACGGGACTTGAACAGCGGAACTTTGTAACTGAAACAAGAAATTATGTCTGTTTTTTGAATTAAAGAGAAAGTATTATCACACAAAACAAAGCAACTTAAACAACTTATATTGAAAGAAATGTTTAATAAAGTAAACAAAATAAATTAAGCTTTTTTTTTTTTTTTTTTTTTTTTTTTTTGTAAAATTTTGATACCCTTTAGATCATAATTGTTCTTTATTTCATAAATTACGGTTTCATATTTTTAATTTTAGAATTTCTGCATGCCATCTTACGAGATTTAAACTGATGATCGATAATCCGGAATCGCCAAAATCCCGACGAGACCGGATTAACGACTTTTGACTGTATTTTATTTTCTTATTAATTTAAGCAGTGAAGAAAAAAACAAAATGAAGTGATTTTTTGAATGACAAGCAGATTTTTGTAATAAAATTTCATTTAATGTTATTTTAACTCTGAATTTATTTTACTGTAAAATGTTGTCATGTGTAATTTACTAGATGATTATAAAACATTTTGTGTTAATGTAACTTTAATTTCTTTTAAGGTAACTAAATTCTCATAGTGTTTCTATAGTTTTGCTTTGTGGGCATAACATAACAAACATTACATTTTTTTTTCAGTTGTTATGTACTTTAGAAATTTTTATTTCAAAAGAAAAAGAATCATTTGGCGCACAATGAACTGCAGGGTTCGTACGGTCCTTAAGAGTCCTTAGAATTTTTGGAATCGATTTTTGGTCCTTAAAAGTCCTTAAATTTTTTTAATCGATTTTTGGTCCTTAAAAGTTCTTAATTTCAGCCAAAATCGTCAGAAGGTCCTTAATTTTAATAATCTGAAATTTCGGTCTTGTTTTTACGAGCTGCTATTTTGAGTGTGAATTATCGAAATAGCATTTGGACGACTATTTTTGGTGAAATCACTGATGACTGTATATAGATTATCTTTGAATGAGTTCATAGGTTAAAATTTGTTCCTATTTTTAAATATAAAGGGATGGGGATACTTGGATTTTCTGATTAAGAAGTGAAACATAAGCATTTCAAAATTATATTTTTTTCTAATGAAGAGGCTCTTAAACAACTTTTCACTTTTGGGGATGGAATTCTTTTATTAAACGTTTCTAAATTTGACATTTCTATAGAAAATTTTTAATTCCGAGATCTGAGAATTTTTCGACGATTTTGTTTTAAACATCGTAACATTGATAAATTTCATTAAAATAATGGTAATATATTTAAATTATGTTTAAAATTTATTTAAATTATTTTATATTTAGTATATTTAAATTCTGTTTTAAGCATTTTTTATTTTTCGCTGTCATATTATAATGTTTCATTTTGGCAACTTATTATACAGTGTTTTGAATCTGAAAAAATAAACAAGGTATAATGCTATAAAGCACTATTTAGCGAAACAGCTCTTAGCAAAAGCAAAATTAGCTGTGTAATTAATTAAAAATGCCTTCTTTTTAATTTTTTCATCATAAAAGTTTTTCCCATGTAATTGTCTCAGAATATACATCAGTTTCCTCTATAAATGCATTAATTTTACTCTTTAATGTTCCTCCCCTTTTTTTCCCCCAAAATATTTCTGGCCTTTTTGCTGTTACAGAATTGGTAGGGATAATTTTTCTTTAGGATTTTAGACATTGCAGCTTGGAAAGTTTAGAACGATTTGAAGGTAAGATTTGTAGACACACGATTCTAGAAGATTCGCGAAATATGTGACAAAATGAAAAATGTCTCTTTGGTATCAACACGTAATGGATGGATTTTACATAAAGTTTGTGATGAATTTCTTACTTTTTGGAGAACATCTGGAAGAATAATGAAAACGTAATATTTAAATGTTTTACTTCTGATACTAGAATCTTTTTCTTAACATGTTTATCTTGCCTTTATTTTCTCTACTTTTCACTAAACACAAGCATGGAAATATCCAAAATGATTCTAATCTTATCACATGGGCAGGCATTATACAAAGGGATTTTTTTTATTAATAAAGAAATTGAAAACTTACAAGTTAAAAGATTCATCTAACGTGTCTTAATGCATCATACACAAAGCTGGCACTAGGCATTTTCCCACCTGATGCAGTCTCTGTGGATTCTAAATTCTGCTGTTTAGTGCCTTTCTAATTTCTGCTTCCAATGCCTGCTCTAAATTGTAAAAGTTTTTCCATTTCTAGATTTTATTGTTCGGTGTGTCACTAAATTCTAAAATTTCTCCCACACCAGCTCTGTAATCAGCCTTTACGATGTATGTTTCATATTTCTTCTGAATGTTTATATTACTAAAGAAATAAAATTAGTCACTTTTTTATACATTCTAAATGCATTTAATGTTTTTTAGAATATCAGAAATCTTTAATTAAAATCCAAAAAATCTAAAATGGAAAGGAAATGTGTTGAAGAAAGAAACTGAATATATAAAGAAAATTATTCTTCAAAGATATGTGCAGTTATTATTATGCAAATTACCCAATTGTTTATTTATTTCAGCCTTTACTATAATTTCCCATTTCTATTTCCTCATATAATAGAGTTACTGAGCCAGATTAAATTTAAATTAAATTGTATAATCTTTGACCATTAGTCTGCATTTTTAGTTTGAATTTGACTGTTCTTGTTTAATTACGTCACCGTTAGCTGTAATTGATTTGTTAGCATCAGAACATGGCTTTATGTTCGAAGTTCTTTTTAAATAAGAGGCTTATTTAAACCTTTGTATTTGATATTGTAGCTACTTTCAGCCATAACGATAATTTGCTTCACGTCTGTCAGGGGTTTTGGACTATTTAACTTTTACCAGATCAAGTAAATCATCATAGGTACATTGTGGAGAGGTTGACAAGTTAGGAGATAAAGCACTCAGAAACTAGCAAGAGCAACTGGTTTTCATGTTGAGACGAATTTCTAAGTGTTAGAAAAGATGCTTAAAGAGAAGGAAATCTATATAAACTTCCCAAAATGTTCGGGAAGGCTTCAAATTAAAATGATGGATAAATATTTTGTTGAGTCTTGTTGTTGGCAAACCTACAAAACCTGACAAGTTTATGTTACAAAACATAAAAGTTTTGTAGCCTTTAATGTGTTTTTATCCTAATATCGTTCAAGATTCAATGTCATAAATTACATGTATTTTAAACTGTGAAATTTTATTAGATTTTAATAGGGCTTTTTTAACAAATATTGTTAAAAAATAATATTTAATAGTGGCCCTGTAAATCTATAATGACTAAGGTTATCTAACTACCTAATTTAATTATTTATAAGTAACTGCTTAGCCTTAAAAATTATCTCTACATATTAAAGCGAGTTTTTGCCTTTCATTAACTGTTATTGCCTTACTGTGGTCACAAGATAAAACACAAAAATGTAAAAATTCAAGTAAAACTTATTCTTTTCGTCTAGTGAGACTTAAAATAATGTAAAACAACTTATCACTTCTGGTGCTTTGATGGCTTATTGGAACCTTAAAGTATAATTTAGATTAAAATAAAATTTTGTAGTCTTTGACTACTAGTCCACATTTTTAGTTTTAATTTGACTGTTCCTGTTTAATTACATCACGCCAAACTGTAGTTGATTTTGTTACATACCTTTATGTTCTGTGTTCTTTTCAATCGGAGGTTTATTTAAACCTGTATCTGATGTGTAACGTGTATACAAGCCAGTTCCCTCAGAAAGTCCTCCACGAAGGCATCCCTTCCCTTAGGTAGATAGCCCTCGAGACTTTGCCGTAATCACATTAACCAAACTAAACCTTTTTCTTTGTAGTTACTTTCAGGCACAGCAATAATTTGCTTCATGTCTGTCAGGGGTTTGGAATCTTTTGCCTTTTACCAGATCAAGTAAAACCTCATTGGTACATTGTCAAGAGATTGAAAAGTTGGGAGATGAAGCACTCAGAAACTGATGTGAAGATTGGTTTGTGTATTGAAACAAATTTCTAATTGTTAAAAAAAGATGTTTAAAGAGAAGGAGATTGGTATAAATTAGCCAAAATGTCTGGAGAAGATTCAAATTAAAAAGATGCATAAGTACTTTGTTCTGTGTTATTGCTACAAAACATTCCTACTATTGTTTAATAATCAATGTCATAAATTATGTGTATTTTAAATTGTGAAATGTTACTAGATTGTTATTTTAATAGTGCTTTTTTAACAAATATTTTTTTTAAATAAGTATAATTTAGTAGTGGCCATGTAAATCTATAAGGACTATCAAATTAACTTATTTAATTATCTGTAAATAACTGCTCACCCTTCAAAATTATCTCTGCATATTAAAGTGAGTTATTACCTTTCATTAAGCCTTACTGTGATCACAAGATAGAGCACAAAAATGTAAAATTCATGTAAAACTTATTTTTTACATCTAGTGAGACTTAAAATCATATAGAACAACTTATCACCTCTCATGCTTTAGTGGCTTATTGAAACCTTAAAGTATATTAACTGAGTTATAACCCCTGGAACACGAAGTTATGACACTAACTGTGTCAGGCAGACAGAGCACAACTAACTTTCAAAACTTGCTAACCATGCTTACATCAGGCTTTTAGGTTTGTTCTGATCAGCAGGTCTGGCTTTAGGCATGGCAGCAGTAGCAACAGCCAGTCTTTTGTTATGAATTATTCTGATTATGATTCTGCTTCTTATTTTAACCTATACTGTTTGATATAAAATCCACCTGCTATTTACTAAACCTGTAGACTGAGCTAGTCCAACTATTATAAGTGTAAAATGTTTAATGCTACTTGATATTATAAAGTTGATTTTATTCTCAAATTTGTTTTATAATTATGTTTAATAATAATGCATCCTACTTATGGATTTATTTTATTCTTAGGATGGTATTACATAAGTGAATTCAGGCATAGATGTATCTTTAATTGAATTTATTCAGTTCCTATTTAGTGATAGGTCCTTATTTTTTTTTTTTTTTTTTTCATTAATGGTCCTTAAAAGTCCTTAATTTCCGTGTGCAGAAATGTGTATGAAGTCTGTTATAGGTTTGATTTAAGGTTGATCTGGAACAACCCCATTTGGATCCTGCAAAAATCTTCAGAAGAGACAGTCTTTTCTTATACCTGACTAATCATGTCTTCAATATGTGAATTCCACAAAAGATTTCTGTCAGAATTCTGTAAAAAATAAAATAATAATAATAATAATATAATAATAATAATAATAATAAGAAAAAAAATAAATAAAATAAGGTTTGTGAAAAATAGATTCATGCATTTTCAAATATTTTTTGTGAGAAATGGAGAATAAAAATAGGTGAAAAAACTGCTTTATGATAATCTTAAACTAATTTATGTGTGTATCTGTTTATAATATCATCACTATTAAATGTTTTTGTCTTTGCAAAAAGTTCTAAGTTATAGTTTTCTTGTTCATTATATTTTTTTATTGTCATTAAAATGATCAAATAAATGCACAGGTCTTATTTATAGGTAAATATATATTAAATTTTATCTTCTGCAATTTTAAAACAGTTTTGAGAACTAAAATTTGATCTTAATTTTAAACTTGCTTTTACAGAAAGGGAAGTATTTTTGCCCTTTATGGCTTTCAGATGAAAGCAAAGCCATTTTATCCGCCATGTTACAAGTTGATCCATCAAAGAGGATATCCATTGAAGGTTTGAAAGTTCATCCGTGGGTCCTTAAAGGTTATGATGTTCCAGTAGATTGGAATGTATCAAAGCAGGTTGGAACTTTTGATGTTTAGATATAAATTTATCTTAACAGAATAATGTTTTATACTGAATTTGTAATTCATTAGTTTGTTTCAAGAAAGGGATTACAACAGACTACTGCTATTGTTATTTAATAAGATGTACAAATTATGTTTGATGAATAATGATTCCCACCTCACTGATAAGTTAAACTATAAATTTTTCTTTCTTCATTAGGAAGAAGATTGCTGTGAGTTTAAAAAATGGAAACATGGTTGCTGCTAATTAAAAATTATATTAATGCATTTTACATTGATATATGTCTGTGTGTGTGTAAAATAATCAAGCAAGATGGTAATAAACATATAAACATGTTTTTACAATATGCTTATAACTGCTGTTGGTACAGGTAGTGGATGCACGTACAATTAAAAATAATTAAAAGATGATTACATGACATTCAGTATAATAGCCCTCCATTCAGATCAAATTAAAAAGATTTCAAATTTGATCAAAATGACAGTGAAAAAAATTTATTCTTAAATTTCATGCCAATAAAAACAAAATTGAAATAAAGCAATGTGCAGGGAATCCTTAAAGCATGTGACACCACAATAAAATTGAATATAATATCAAGAAATTTGTGTACTTCTCTTATGTATATACTTTTCTTCAATAGTAGAGACATTAGGTTATTTTGAAGCAGGAGACATGAAAAATGAGCAATGTCCACACCAGGACTCAAACAACGAACCTCTTGAATAGGTATCAAGTGTAGTGGCCATTACACCATGAAGGCATGCTTAAGAAGGCGGGAGAAATGTCTTATATACTTCCCGTTTTAAAGGGTGACTGGGGATTAGGTAACCCAATTACCAAATCATGGTGATGGAGAATCATCATCCACCACCCTTTTAGTTCGGGTGCCACTGTAGAGACATTAGGCTATTTCAAAGTAGGAGACATGAAAAATGAGCAATGTCCTGCCCGGGACTCAAAACCTCTGACCCCTCGAATACGCGCCGAGCGTGCTGGTCAATTATACCACGAGCACATGCTAAGAAGGTGGAAGAAATACCTTATACAATATCAGTCTTTCTGATAATCAGGTATACTTTTCTTTTCTTGACATTTATGGATTCAACATAACACCCAGTAAAGTATAGTGTAATGAAAGTAATAGAAACAAAAAATAGGAGCCAGGATTTTTTTTAGGAGGCATAATAATATGTTATATTTCTAATAATTTATGGTGAACATAAAGTATTTGCTGTTCCTGATTAACTAAGGTAGCACCAGCAAAGATTATGTTGCAGAGGGGAAAAAATCAAAATAAGCTTTGAATTCCTTTTCATTTTTCCAACTTTAGTTAATTAGTAATTTATATTCTAAAGCATTTTCATATTAGCTTCATTCACCAGTAGATGTGAGTAATATATTTATTATGATTATTAAAATCCGTGCATATTTCTAGTAACATAGTGTAGAGAGCTTTTTGGATATCCCTCAGTAACAGGATTGAAATATGAATTTCTTGATGACCTGTGAAAATTATTAAACCCTTAACTGCCGCGGGCGTATATATACGCCTTGCTCAGCCGATGCGTTAACTGCCCCAGATGCGCAGCCGATGCATTAACTTTGCGAATAATTTTAGGTGTAGCAGCGCAAAGCAAATGATAGCAGTTTGGAAGGACGTATATATACGCCTGGGGCAGTTAACGCATCGGCTGAGCAAGGTGTATATATACGCCCGCGGCAGTTAAGGGGTTAATTAATTTACCAGCTTATATATGCAGGACTGAATAGCAAACAACCAAGCAAACTTTTATACAGTGGAACCTCGATAAGTTCGAACAAGTTTAATTCGTTCCAGCATTGAGCTCGTATAGCGAATTTCTTGTATCTAGATACAAACTTCCCTACTAAAAACAATGGAAATCCAATTAATCCGTTCCAAACCCCCAAAAATATCAACATAAAAATCAGTTTTTCTAATAAATAACACTTTTAACATAACCGTAGTTTACCTTTATTGATAGCTTCTGACACCGACTTTTAACTGCTTCTTGTTACTAATTCAGAAGTCAAACAACAAAAATCAGCGTTATATTTACAAAAATTTTCACAGGACTAGTTTCGATGGTTTTACCGAACCACGATCCTCAGCTGCAAAACCGCAAATGAACAAGATAGGAAATAACGATTAGATAAGATAAGAAAGTCTGGACAAGAATAAGCAAGTGGCAGCATCTGTTGGTGAAACCAGAACTAAAACATAATTTCTTTAAAGGCCGAAGGCAAATATGGATTGGAATTAGGATCGTTAACTAGAACAGAAAGATTTTTATGAATGTGAAATGCCTCTAGAAAATCCAGTTCTCCAATGGAAGATGTTTTTTGAATAATTTGGGCGACAGAAAAATGAACGTGTGATTTTCGGACCAACAATGTTGAGCAACAGAAGACTTCTGTGTTTCCTTTTTTCTAACATATGCCTCATGTTCCTTGACGCGAAATTTTAAGGCTCTCTTAGTTTGGCAAATGTAAATTAAACCACACTGGCAAGGAATCCTATAAATACCCCTGGAATTCATATCCGGAATGGGGTCCTTGAGTATGGAACTTGGAATTTTATTGATGGGAGAATAAACAACCCAAAAGTTAAATTTCTCCAAATATGTGCAACTTTATAGCTAATTGATGAAAGAAGGGAATGACAACAAATTTTTATAATTCCTAAACAAGAGGTGTCTTTTAGTGTGTTGAGATGAGAAAAGGCACACTCTTGTTTTAGGAGATTATAAAATTTCTGTTGTCATTCCCTTCTTTCCATCAGTTAGCTAGAAAGTTGCACATAGTTTGCAGAAATTTAAATTTCGGGTTCGTTTACTCTCCCATCAATGAAATTCCAAGTTCCATACTCAAGGACCCCCATTCCAGATATGAATTCCAGGGTATTTATAGGATTCCTTGCCAGTTGTGTTTTAATTTACATTTGGTCAATCTAAGAGAGCCTTAAAATTTCGTGTCAAGGAACATGAGGACATATGTTATAAAAAAGGAAACACAGAAGTCTTCTGTTTGTTGTACATTGTTGATCCGACAATCACACTTTCAATTTTTCTGTCTGCCTAAATTATTCAAAAAACATCTTCCTTGAGAACTGGATTTTCTAGAGGCATTTCACATTCATAAAAATCTTTCTGTTCTAGTTAACGATCCTAATTCCAATCCATATTTGCCTTCGGCCTTTAAAGAAATTATGTTTTAGTTCTGGTTTCACCAACAGATGCCGCCACTTGCTTATTCTTGTCCAGGCTTTCTTATCTTATCTAATCGTTATTTACTATCTTATTCATTTGCGGTTTTGCAGCTGAGGATGGTGGTTCGGTAAAACCATTGAAACTAGTCTTGTGAAAATTTTGTAAATATAACACTGAATTTTGTTGTTTGACTTCTGAATTAGTATTTATTCAGCGTGTTTATTGTGTTTTAATTACTTCTTGTTAATCCACATCAACAACAGCTTCACAACATCTTCTAGGAGTTTTGGACGGTGCTTGGAAGTAACGGTAACTCCTTTGGCTGCATCACGTTTCTTAATTTCTTCCTCTTTTTTCAGAATAGTGCAGATCTTTGATGTCGAAAGGCCGTAAGTCTTCGCCAATTCTGTCACTCTTACACCATGCTTATTTATGATTTCTTTCTTAATTTCAGCGGCCATGGCTTCTTTATTTTTCTTTTCAGCACTATCTGAAGCAACAGTCTTCTTATAGAGCCTTTCGGCTTAACTAATGGTACTACTAGAGTTGCCCATTCTGATGTTTCAACCTTTTTGATTATACTTTCCTTTTCCAAGTGATCAGCTTCTTCATCTTTCTAGCTTTTTAACGCAAATTTCACTTGACTAACTTTACAAATTTTTGGTGAAGCATTTGGTTTTAATTCATGTTTAACCTCATAATTTTTTATCTCCCCTAATTTTCCATCAAAAATTCTTTATATTCTTCCAAAATTTATTTAAACTACTCTTTTAAGAGACAGAAATTGACTTTATTGAGATCCAATCTAAATTTATTTCTGAAAGCCATTTACGATCAAATATTGTATTAAGGTTTTCTTTAACGATGTAAAGGTTTAAGTTTTTATTTTGACCTTTATATTCTACATTAACTGTAGTACATCCTAAAGGTATCGGTTTTTCTCCATTATACTTTTTAAATACCGGACTTGTATTTTGAATTTTCTTTTTCAAAATTTGCTGATACTGCACCTCCCATATCCAGTTCCATAGCTACCGGTTTTCCTTCTATGTTCACTTAGACCATTATGGGCGGGTTCCTATTTTTCACCTCACTGAAATTTGTGCTGTGTGTAGAAACTGTGGTTTCCTTTGCTACATGTAACTATTTGTGTTTTGCTTTCATTCTTTCAACATTTTTAGTGTTATAGCATGCTCTTTCAATGTGCCCGATTTTTTTACAAAATCTGCAGATACAGATGTCTCTGTCTTAAATTTACAAGAATTTCTGTCGTGGTCAGTTCCTGTACATTGCGAACACTTTTTGTCTTTAGCACTCTTAGCTGAGAAATTTTGTCTTTCAAACTTTTGTTTTTGAGAGACCGACTTAGATTTACCTTTATTCCTGGCACTAAATTCCTTAATTTCCACTTGTTTTTCCAATTATTTCATTTTCACCTTTTAATACTTTTTCCATTGCAAAAGCTATTTTTAAAGTGTCATCTAGACTGATATCATCCTGCTACCTCTTAGCCCACTAACAAATACACCCCGCAACATCGTATTCAACATGTTCTGATCGTAAACACACAGTATGGCAAGTGACCATAACTCTGCCATATACATGCTAATTGTTTCCTCCTCATGCTGCTTTCAATTTCAAAATACATGCCTGCTAGGAATTATAAGTGGCTTACGATTTAAATGATTTCTCAGTGTTGTTTTTAACACATCATAATCCATATCGGAAGGATTATCAGGAGCCAGCAATTTTTTAAAAGACTGTCCTTTTTTCTGGACATACTGGAAATCAGTACTTTCTCACGCTTGTCCTATGAAACATTTTGTATATCTAAATAACTTTCGAACCTTTCTAAAAATGAATCAAACTAATCTTCATGTTCATTATATTTTTAAAGTTGAACAGAAAGTTTAGAATTATCTATTGATTGAGTAATAACTGAAGTAAGTTTCTTTGTCAGAGCTTTATTTTGCTCTGTTAGCTCAGTTACGAGCTGCTCCACGGTGGATCCTCCATAAAAAAATAATTATAAAAGTTTTACCTTGCAGTCTTTGGGGAAGTTCCTAAAACACTAGTACTCGTAATAGCGATAAAGCATGTCGCAAAAGCACTTTTATTATTTTAAAAAATAACACATCCTTTGTCGCCAGGTTTACTATGCCTTTAGTGGGTCATTATTTCACAAGACACTGTATTTAATTATATTAACTTTATTATATACAAAACTCATCATTACTCGCATACACACGTACACTCCTACTACTGGCTATTTCCAGTCTCATTTCGGATTTGCAATAACTTCACGCGCTTGCGATGCTTGGCACTGTGCCAGCTTTAAATTCAATTACGATTAAGTTCTGAATACACCACAGATAATACCATGGCAATTCCACCAGATACAAGGCATGAACCTTTTGTAAGTCAAATTGCACTTTGCGATGCTGTCGATGGGCTCACTGGGCGCAGACCAACTCCTTTTTTGGCCAGTGTTGTTGAAGTAAATCCACTTTTCATCACAAGTAACAATCTGGTTCAGAGTTTTGTCCTTGCATTGATATTCGAGCAGATTGGTGCAAGCTCAAACACGTCTGTTCTTATCTGCTTGAGTCGGTTAATGTGGCATAGCATCACTAATGGACATTGTACTAATGTCTAACTCTTTAGCAAGCTTTCGAGTGGTTGCATACTGATCTTCTTCCACAAGCTCTCACACGCGGGCCTCATCAACATCAATATGCCGGCCAGTGTGCTCTGTTTCTTGAAAGTTTCTTTGTTTTTGAACTTGCTGTACCAAACTTTCACAGTTCTGTATGATACAACATTAGTACTTAAAGCTATACACGTGATTTGGTGACATTTTGTAGCTGACTTTTTGCAACAGAAGTGGAAGTAAGTGATAGTTCTAATCTGGTAGCATGATAGTTCCATAAATTTCAAGACACAGTGCTCTAAAGCAAGTCTTTTTCTTTCAAATGCCAAAAATCATTTGACAAAAATGATTAAACACACCAATGTGAACTGTTTACACAGACGATATTCGCAGTTGCGGGAAACTTTTGTTAAAACCCGATATAGTGGTTATGCATGTCCTCTCTTATAAGAAATTCATTAAGCTGGTTATTAATTTGATTAAGGATGGGTTAGAGCAGGGATTCCCAACCTTTTTCTTGCATCATCGTCTTAAGGAATGATTTTCTTCATTAACCCTCCCTTACATTTTTCTCTTTGATATACAAAACTTAGCATATCCATGTGTTTGGAATAAAACTTTGTATGGTATTGCTTTATAACAATAAACAATTAATTAATTTTTTTATGTAATCCGTGGAATCTTGATTATGGGGATCAATTTCTGATGCATATTTGGCTATCAACCCACAATCCACCCCTTTATCATCACTGACACCCAGGGGTCAGTACTGAACCTGTTAGAAACCCTGGGTCAGAGGATGTGCCTGGATTAGCCAAAGCCTTAAGCATCAGTTGTGATGTATTGAACTTTTATTTTATAGACTTTTCTCATACAGATTTTGCCAGCTCCGTCTCAGTTAGGAATTGAAATGCTTCAGCGGCCGAGTGGTTAAGATCACAGAATACTGGTAGTTTGACCTGGTTTGAATTCAATTCCAAGCAATCGGGATGACTGCATAGTTAGTTTTTGTGGCTTTCTCCATGTGTAATGTGAATATGAGCTGGTTTTCTCCAAAATGCGCTCCACAGAGGCATCCCTTCTCTCTCACAGATGGGTTTCATGGCTTTACGATATTCAAATAACCAACTGAGAAGAGGGAATCTGATTGTTTTGTGCCCCTTTTCTCTCTGAAGCTAACTTTTTAAGAAGACTTTCCAGATTGATAAATTTGAAGTATTCTGCAATTACAGATTTTATAACTTATTTAAGACTTGGCCTACTGACATGGTAACTAGCTTTTGCTAAGTGCCATTGTGACAAGGTAGTCACAGAAGCTTTTACATATAGTCTTAACGCACCCATACTTTTACACAGCCTGTCTTTTGATCCTTCTCATAGAATATAACTAATTTTAGTATAACCAAGTTTTAATTTTAGTATAACTACTTTTAGATAATATATTATATTCTCAATATATTCCTTGTTTTTATGCCAAAATCATATTCTAATTTTCTTTATTCAAGGTGTACATTTGTATCACAAGGCTTTATACAAATAATTTTTAATAATTGTATACAAATGTTACTTTATACAATGTTTTAATGACTTAATACAAATAATTTTTGCATTATACTATTTCATTTTTTTTATTATTATATTTATACAAAGTAACAATCTTTATAAATAAATTGTTCATTAAAAATATTTTCATGAAATCAGAAAATATCAAATAGTTTCTTTATGTAATTTTTTTTTTTTTTTTTTTTTTTTGATGCAAAAATGTGCTCATTTCAAGAATTATTTGATTTGTTTTATTAGTCTTCTTTGCTGCAGAGGGATAATATAGTCATTTTATCTGTTCTGTTATGAAAAGGAATTCTCATTTGACCTGGGGTATTAGATGTTTTGCTAGGGTGTCCATTGCTACAGAAAGTGACCTTAGATTTTCTAAATTCTAAAATATTCCAGTTAGTTGATTTCTTGATAGTCAGGTTTTTACTGTATGTAAGAGTTCAGCGTTTTTGTAAAACATAAATTGCATTAGTATGAAAATACGATTTCTTTTTGCTTGGAGTAACACCAGCAAAAAGTATTTCAAATTATGATTAGCAAACCGAACTTTGCCTTACTTTGCTGTGCAAATGTCTTTAATTTATGGAACTAAAACTGATTACACACAATATTAATTAGCTTTGACATTGCTCAAATTTTAATTTGATGCTTTTTTAACCTAAAACAGGAAACAGAATTTGATCCTGAGTGTATTGCTGAAATGGCTGTTTACTACAAAAGATCAATGAGATCTATTGAATTTTCTCTAAATCAGGTAATGGAAATTTTTCTATAATTATATATGTGAGGAAATTACTTATTTATATTATGCATATAATTCAGAGATTATAAGCAATTTAGAGTTCACTTATAACTATTTTCCTCTTCAGTTACTGTTATTAGCGCTATTAGAAATAGGCAAATTGAATACTTTTTTTTAATTAATTTATACAGAAATTAGTTAATATTTTATATGCTGCTGAACAAACTATTGAAAGAAATATCTTCTTAAAATTAATTTGCTTGTACCCAAGAAGCACATGACATGTTCAAAGGAATATGTACATATTCTTCAAGGATATTGTTATTACATATGGCTTTATTGGAAGGATCAATCCAAACATATAAAAAGGTTCAAGTATCACACAAGAACGATGATATATAATAAAAAACAAACATTTAAAGTAAAAACAGAACAAATGAACATGGGAGCAAAAGTAAAAAGTTAAACATTTAAACAACAAGGAAAGGAAGATAAGAGATGTAGAGATATAGTCTTTATGAGAAGTTCATGAAAGTTCTGACATTCCAGTATAGTTTGCTTATCTCATAACATTTCTGAGACCTTTTATCTAGTTCTGGGCATATAAGAATATGCTCTACATTCATGATGCCCAAATTGCAAATTTGATATATACTAGATGGAAGAATGCCAGTTTTATTAAGATGATGTGCCATGCAATCGTGGCCTGTTGGCTGAAATTTGCCACAGCCTCTTTATGGGTTTTTTTGACAAAACATTTTACAAGTGTCTTGAATGTTTTCTTCAAGGATGTATTGTTCTTATAACTGCACAATGTAAAAATACAATTGCAGAGAGAGAAAGAGGAGAGAAAATAATAATTGTACAATATATCGTGTGAATCGTCAAAACTATTTTAAAAGTTGATGTCCTGTAGCCAACTTTGTGCAGAAGTAAAAGCATTGCTCCATAGTTGCAAAAATCAGTATGCTGCCATACTTTTGCATAGCTCATAAGGGGAGGCATGATCTTGGACTTCCTAGTTTCAACTGCATACTTTTAGGGCATTTTCAGATGCCTGGCATGCTTATCTCAGAAATTGTCAAAAAAATTAAGGCTAAAGTTTTAAGTAATATTCATGTTAAACTTCTCTATTTACTGTAATCTTTGATAGTCTAAATAGTGATTTCTAAGATAATAATGTAAAAAAAAAAAAAAAAAAGAACTTTAAATGATTCTGTTTTCCAATAATTTATTTACAACTGATAGACAGTCATCCTAAAAAGGTTCAAAATATAAAATGTTGACAGCAGGCCTATTATATAAATGTTGACTTATCACGATTTAATTTCTTGGCATAAGATTTTCTTAAAATTTCAGAAAGGAATGTGCATAATTTATTAATGGACTTTAAAATAGTCCCCCCTAAGACATTAGATGGATTTCTGATTTTCTTCATTATACTTTTATATTACACACATCTTATGTTCTCATTAAAGAATGGGCATCTTAAAAAATACTATTATGTATATGAATATAGATGCTTATTTATTTGTATTCTCATAAACACTGGTCACCTTCAGATGTCTTTGAGAGATAGTTGCCATAAAATTGTGCTTTGTGTTTTAATAATGTATTTTAAAGTTTTGAAATAATTTATAGTTTTTTTTTCTCAAACTATATATGAAATTATGAAGAGTTTACAAATGTTGCATACCCACATAAAATAGTTCCCATTCAAATTAATCATGAATAAGATACACACTGATTGTATTTATTTTATAGAATCAGAGTAATTAAAACTTTTAAAGAATTTTTAAAATAATAGGTTGTGACAAATTTTAAAAAGTGGTTTGTCTTTTTTTTTTATTTTATTTCTGAAGATATACTAAATGTTTAAGTGATTAGTATCAACTTGCACTGATAATGTATGTTATTGTGAACATTTTATATATCTACATTTAGATGACTGTTGTAGAATTAACTTCAGTTATACTTGCTAGAATGTCCCTGGTAATATAGCATTAATACCACAGAGCTGCCAACTCTTGTAAAACAGGAAGGCACCCGATTTTTCATCACATTTCCAGGTTTCTTATTCATTCTCCAAATGTGGTTTTTAATTTATCTGAATTCAGACTCATCTCTTTCAAACACAGTTCTAGAAGACCTGTTGATGATTAATTTCACAAAGAGAAAAATATGCTATAAAACAAGGTCTTCCAAACTTTTCCAGTATGTGGTGCACTTACAGTTTGGTTATTTTTTTTTCCATGACATCCCGGTTGTAGTATTTCTACCATAATGTTAATCAATCACAGTAATAAAAACATCATTTTAGTGAAAACGTATAGTAAATTTAATGGATAAGAAAACATACAAATAAAAGAAGGCTTCAGTAACAAATTAGAAACTCTTTGTGATAGGTGAGGTTGTTGATCCCCATACAGCTATTCTCATTTCTTGCTCCACACTGATTTTTGAATGATAGTTGGTCTTTATTAGAGGGACAGCTGAAAACCAAGCTTTGCATAGATAGGATGTTGCACAGTGAATGAGGATTTTTTGGAGCTTTAGAACTTACAGTTAGATACTCAATTTTGATTGAAATTCAAAACTCCATTAAATCTGAGCAAACAAATTTCCTTTTCAGGCTGCTGTCATAAGAGAGTCCAATTAAACTCTCATCATCTTGTGAATGAAAAGGATCTTGGATCAGCATAAATTTCTGTACATTTATTCTGCAAAATAATTTGGGAATCACTCAGTCAGTTTTAAAAGATGCTCCATGATAAGCGACAGCAATTCCTATAAAACAATGACTTTATTAGAAGTTGGGTATTGGTACAGTGTAGAAAAACAACCTCGAGCACTATTGTAATTCAGTTTTTTTTATCCACAACTGCAGTTTTTGGTACTTTTCCGTTTTGCTGGCGCAAGTCTTGCCAAGCAGACTTTATTGGCGACAGCATACAGTATACACATAAAAAATTTTAACAAATGTTACTTCTAAGAATTTTTCATTTTGAAGGCATAAACATTTTAATATGGTTTAAAATTTTGTAAAAAGACAATAAATTTGTAAAAACACATTAATTTAAGAATTTACTATACTTTCATGGTTCAACATCTCGATTCGCCAGTTCTTGTCACGTGACCCCAAGTGATCTCATATCACGTAAATTACGCTACAAAAATCTAATTCTCTCAGCAATTATCTACATTAATTTCAAGTTAAATCTTAATTTGGAATACTAGATTAAATGCAAGGATTATTTCAATTCGTATGAATAGCTTACTCAGAAATTATTTAAAACCATAGTGTTTTACTTCACTAGTGCATTCTCATTAGAATTGATGAATTTAACCCTTGATTTTGCCTTTTCTATATTTTCGCCTTCCGGTGAGCAGTGCGATTGTATCCTAATTGACTTAATTACTGTGAATGGCCTTAGGGCATAAAATTGAACTAGCTTGTAAAAATTCTGTTTAATTGTGTGCCAGTATTGAAAGAAACAATCAATCTGATAAGAAATGGCTGGGACTTTTTTGAAAATGAAGTGTAAATAAAGGTTACCAGCAAAGATATTCCTTTTGGCATCAGTTGTACCATTATTGGTGACTTATCGTTTGTGCCGGCAAAACGGAAAAATACCTAGTTTTTTCCTAAACTCTGAAATCTTTTCTACAACTTTCAAGATGTGCAAACATTGACCGATTCAAGACCTTTAACTTGTCAAAAATGCCACGCTAATATGTTAATATCCACAAAAAGTCTGGTTTTGGAAAATACTTATTGGTCGCATGGCCTTCCTCTTGCAGAAAAGTGTCAATTTCTTGATCCTATTCAAATGCATGAGATAAGATGTTGTCATACAAAAGCCATCAAGAACTGCGATAGTATAGCAGAGCAGTGTGTTTAGCTGCCATATTCTTGCATAGCTTTCTAAAAAAACTTGCTTTTAGGGGTCTAGTTTTTATGTACTTCTCTATGTCTATGAGACATTCCAAAGCCAAACTCAATTGAGGACTAAGCATCTTCAATACAAGTGCTTTCCAGTAAATATTGCAATGGGTCCACACAGCATGCAGGGTTTTGCTGTAAATATGTGCCTCCAGTCCTGCATAGAGACTGGACATTGATCAAGCACCATCAATACATACACAGATGCACTTTTTCCAATTTAAATTATTTTCTATAAATTTGTCAAGCATTTTGAACAAGTCTTGAGCCTTTGCACTTCCAATGATGTTCTTACAGAACAGAAAATCTTCAACAGTAATATTACCATTCAAGAAGCATACATAATGTATAAGATTTGCATCTTTATTACTGTCAGTAGCCTCGTCTAGCTGCAGACTGAGTTTCTCTGTCAACTGATCGTTGAGATTCCGAGCTATACACTGAATTCTTCATCTAATAGTGTTGTTCAATATAGAAGCCTTAGAAATGAGTTTTCCCACCATAATATTAACCATGATGAGAGTAGCTCTTCTGCAGTAGTGTGTGGTTTTTAGTACTTCATCAATCTGTGAGCTACCTTGAAAGATGCTAGCCATGCATTACTTGGAACACTCTTGTTTAGCTAATACACTGCCTTACTTTTGTAAATCTTACAACTTCATAAAAAAATTACGAGATTTGTCGACCATGTTAGAGTGAATGGTCTCGATTAGCTTTGGCTTGCTTGCATGCATACTTTCAAGTGCAAAGATTTTTAAAGAAACAACACATCTGTCATCTTGTCTTTCATCATTATTTACTTCTATTGAAGTAAAAGCAAAATCAAAGTAACTTTCCTTGTAGTTAACGACATTTTTGCCTCTTTTCTTCTCCACTAGTTGTTGAAGCCTTGCCGCTCAAACTTGAACTATTGTTACTATCTGTTTCCTTGTTTAGTAAAATCTTTTCATTTTCGAAAATATCAGTAAGGATTGATCAATTTATTGCTATAGTTCATTAAAATCACAACTGTTAGCTTTAATCTCCGTTATCAATCTCAAGACGGCTAGGGGTAAGTCGGGCTTTCACTTTTCATTCAATCGGGACAACTCTTGCATTTTATAAATGCTTTATTATTACAATAAATATATACATATCATTACGGAACATTCTTAACATCAATCCTAATCTCTCGCTTCCCGATTCTCGATTGATATCGTGTGCCCCCTATTGGCGGCTTTTCTACAATGCCATCTATCGGCTGATAACATTCGGTCATTCTCCCGATTGTTCGGAGTACAAATCAATTTTATAATTAATACAATTTTCTACTTCGACTCTTATACACAATACTAAACATACATATTACTAATACACTAAGAAGAATACACATTATACTAAAATTTGATATGATAATAAACTTACTAAAATATTTTCACATACATAAATTCACATATTTTATACATTAGCATAATAATCGAAAATTTTCTGTAAATCATTACAAATACGTTATATATATGAAATAACTCAATTTTTTTTCAGTCCTAAAATGATTCAAAATGCACTAAAGTCTTTCAGCTAATGTTCAAAAGTTCAAAGTCAATTAATGTTCAAAAGTTCAAAGTTTCTAAAGTTTTCTATCAGCAAACATACGTAGATAAGCACACACACAAAAAAAAGGAAAGATCTCACCTTAATCACAGGGTAGAGCACTTCCATCAGTCCTTACGAACAGATCTGATTGGATTCCGTCGAGGAATTAAGCTTGATAACTGGTCAGTATCTTCATCGTCGCCGTCGTCATCATCATCGTCAGAGCTGGGATCGCACCTCCATGGCTTCAGCTGGCTCACATGAGCAGTGGTAGTGAAGTAGCGACCTCGATTCTTCGCTTCTAGTTGAGTTATTCTGTAGGTATCGCTAGGTAATATTTCCGTTATTATAAATGGCCCTCGATATTTCGGCTGTGTTTTGGTAGGTAGCCTTAGGAGCACAACTATTTCTCCTTGCTCGAATATTAGTGTACGACACCTCTTCCCATCGAATCTCTTTTTCATTTTCACTTGCTGTTCCTCAATTCTTCCTCGCGCTTGCTCTTGGATTTCTCGCGGGTCTTTCCATGCATCTGAATCTCCATCTGCTATCTTCCTAAGTATTCCATCATTAAATCTGGGAGAATACCCATGTAGCATTTCAAATGGAGTCTTATTCGTAGTTTTGTTTACCATGTTGTTAAGATTTCTTTCTGTCTCTTTTATTTTGGAATCCCAATCTCTGTGTTGTTTATCCATCAAACTTGCCATTATCGTTCCTAAAATTGTTCTGTTGACGCGCTCTACCATACCATTGGCTTGGGGTGTTTGGTAGAATTCAAAGTATGATGTATTCCGTTATATTTACAATACTGCTTAAATTGGTGAGAAGTAAAACAAGATCCTCTATCACTTATTATTTTTCTTTCCGGTAGTCCAAAATCATTAACAAAATTCTTCAAAGACTGTAAAACATTTTTAGCACTAGTATTCTTAACTGCAAAAATTCTCACGAACCTAGTCATGTTATCAATTATCACTAATAGTTCTTGATTACCTCTCGAACTCTTTACGAAAGGACCCAAGTGATCCATGTGAACAATAGCAAACGGTCTTTTACCAGGTTTTATGGGATGTAACAGTCCTTGTTGCTTGCCACCTGTCGCTTTATTCATAAGGCACTCAATACATGCTGATATGTGTCTTCGTACGTATCGTTTCATGCTTGGAAACCAATATAATTCCTTAATTTTGCTAACTGTTCTATCCACAGAAAAGTGACCAAATAAATCATGGAATTTCACCACTACACTCTTCCTCATGCTTTTTGGAATCACATAGAGTAGTCTCTCCTTTCCATCCACTACGGTTTTCCAAAACAGTCTATTCTTCTTAAACACGTAATTCATAATTATTTTTTTCTCCTCAGCAGTTCGTTCCTCTTGTTTCTTCTTGAAAATTTCGATAATTCTTTTCAGGTCTTGGTCAGCATGTTGTATCATTAGTATTTGCTCTTCTTCGGTTAGGGACTGGCAAACTTCAAAATT